AGGAGTGATATTGTAGATTGGCCTCACTTTTAGGCTGTCTTGATCTTCATCATCATCTTCTACCATATCATCACCAAGGATCGCAGTCCATTTATTTCTCATAGACTGTGCTGCATACATCTGCCATTTAAACAGTGATATAGGACTGAATGTCAAGTGCAAATCTAATATTCTGGAAAAAAAAAAGAAATGCATAAATAACAAATGAAATATCATTGACATTTTAAAATCAATATACCGGATTCTGCTGTAAATTCGTCCATCCGAAAAATCGATGATTTTACGGCTGGTGGGCCCTTTTTTAGGGTTCACAATTTAAAAAAATGATTATTAAATATTTTTAGGGTACTTGAAAAATCCACCTACGCTGACTTTCAACACCGGCAGTTGAACAACCCAAAATGTAAGAAACTATTGCAGAAGCTTATTTAAAATTTTGTACATTTTTTGTTGTTGCTGAATTAAAAAGTAGACTGCCTAAAATGTCATTACAATGTCAGTGCATCCTTCTTCAAAAAAAAATCACATTAACGAATCTTATGCTTCAAAAACAATTATTTGTTTCATTTTGTTAGTAACAAAAGTATATTCTAAAAGAAGTTTCAAATAAAAACAAACATGACTGCATTGCTTAGTAGCAAATGATCACAGTTGCGCAATCCGGTCATGCTGAGTTTCACAATTATTGATTATAACCTAGTAATGATTACAATAAAATTCAAAAAATAAATTCGTTGAATTGTTATGAAAAGCAAATAAATTTCAAGTTATTTCATCATAAGCGAATGATTCCGGTCGCATTTTCAACATCGCTTTCAACAATGTTGTAGAAATAAATATTAGCCATGTCTTGACCTGGGACGGTGTTCTTTGACCTGACAGAGCAAATCTCTAATTAACCAATGAAATATGCTAATGTTATTGAAGCAGCACGGAAATGATTTGCCAATGTTGTTGTACGATCTTTTGGCTTAGATTTTGATGGGAAAGCGACATGATTTGTTTTTAAATAAAAAAAATTAGTTGTTTTCAAAAGATAAACTGAGCATTTAAAGAATAATTTAACATTGTTTACAGTGATAACAGCTCATTGTCAAAACGAAGCTTATCCATACTCTTGAATAGGAGTCAATGACTACAGCGAAACTTTAAGGCATCGGTAAGATTTAAAATAACAACTTAAAAAACTGCCGAAAAATCGTGCTGGGCGATTTCTTGGCCCCATTTTATATTTTTAACCCCAACTGCTGTTTAACAGCCCAGGGCGAATTTATGGCAGAATGCACAGTCTCAGCCAAGGTGCAAGGTCTGATTTACAATTATAGTGGCTTAGAAAATACGTTACAGTTATGTAGGTAAATGTCAGTTAACAAATTATGTACAGCTGGCATATGAATAAAATTGTAGAAATTACATTCTGCATATGAATACAAGAATGACCAGTTTACAATCTGCACATGAACAAAAGGTTTACAGAAATCAATCAAGAACTAGAACAGTGAGTCATATGACCAAGAATTTGAATACTTACGGTGTTGTCTCATTGATTGGCATGTAGTCAGTTGCCATGTTCCACCAATCATTGAAATAGAGTACAGGATAATATTCACCAGATATGTGAAATTCAATGTCTGAAAAAAACGAAAAAAAAAAAAACGGTTTTGTATCATAATCTAGCATATACAGAATGACAACTGAAAAACACTTGGAAGGGATGCCAACCTGCCCCAGATTTCTAAAATTTTAATATGAACATTGAGAACCATGTTTTCATCATGCAGAGACATTGTCTTGAAATATAGCCAAATCACATGCAGGCAATTTGTGTGTACATGTATAAAGGTGATCAATACGTTTCTCATGCAGTTAAATACTGTACATACATGTAAACCTTGTACATGCAGTTAAATACTGTACATACATGTAAACCTTGTACATGTAGTTAAATACTGTACATACATGTAAACCTTGTACATGTAGTTAAATACATACAGCTTGCAATGTATATGTTGTATTACCAGGAACCCTTCATCAAATTACATCTTGTACATATCACACAAATTCAAATAGATCAAACTATTTTTTAAGCATGTCATCAAAACTGTTTCCATGATTCACATTCCTAGAATGGTTAAAACATGATATTATAAAGTAATGTCTTACATTCATCCAATGGTGATGGTATGGCTCCTTGTCTCCATGGTGTGTGGTCATCAACTAAATTTATAGTTAAATTAGGATGCCAATGTGATAGAATCTCTGCTGGTCTATTATCATCTACACTCTGAAATAAATAAATGAATGTAACTTATACTGCCATACAGATTTGCAAAACTAATTTCTAACAGTTTGAATAGAAGTCATCTTTGATGACAGAGAATATGTCAAGAGTATGACCAATCTGATCAAAATCCGATATAATTTGTTGTTTTTTACATATTTTTTATTCTGATATTTTTTTTTGTTTTTTTATAATTTTCTTAAAGCCAGAAGATCTGAACAAAGTCATAGGAGATCTTGTTCAACTCAATTTCAACAACCAATCAAAAAAGGTTTTATATACGACCATGGTTGGACTTACAAATGCCATAATCACTGTATACCACGCCTTCTCTGATTGGTCGACAAATCTAGTTATTTGAGATCTCACAAACAAGATCTTCCATTGGATTGTTCAGATCTTTGGGTGTTCATAGTCAGAGAAAAAAAAAGGAAATACTCCCAAATTAATTAAAAATTAACAATTAAACAAATAAAAAAGAAATAAGAAAAACCCAATAAGATCAGATTTTAATCAGATTGGTAATGGCAAGGATATGAAGAGCACCAATACATATTTCCATTTACTAAGCAACTACAAACTTACATTACTGCTGTAAAGAAAATGGATTAATTCTGTTTTTTTAACTGTTTATTAGCAGGTTCCAACAGTTATTGATGATGTACGCATATATACCTGATTAAAATCCCAGAAAGAGGAAGTCATTGGAACAGCAAGATTGGTGATTATCTTTAAACATATAATATAAATTCTTGCAAGCTTTTTAAAATTATCATTTGTGTCTTTTATAACAAAAGTATCAGCAAGCAAACAGAAAGAGGTGCAATTTAAAATGAACAATAAAGCTCTCTGCGAACCTGTTATATGCAAAGCTTGTTTGCTACTTGCTTTATCCCTTGTTTTTAAATGTTTATCAAGTCATGCATTAAACAATACAAATGCTTTGTCTTGATGACGTACTCAGGTACTGCATATGTTGGAATAATTTCAGTTATCTGCAAATTATTGTACTTGAAACATATTCAATATTTGTTAATCTTTTCATTCATTTCGTGTTATACAAGTTTATAATATTCTGAATTGTACATTGTTTCAAAATAAGGATTCTGAAATGTGACGGCCACATGAGTGCGAATGTGGTAGAAACCACTGCAGAGTGTTCTTTTGTGTAAATTTTTATATTTAGCTAATTAGAAGCTTTCCCGCTAACTAAGATCTTATTGATGTGTATCAAGGGCATACTTATGTGCCATTCTTATAATAATGTGTTATATCGTGTTGTAAGTCTCTGGACTGCCAGTGCGCTTTCCGTTAGTAAATAAATTCTGAGTTTATATAGAAGTCCTTTTACTGTGGTGATTGGTGCTGCTTGCGACAGATAATTTTAATTTTTAATACTAATTTTATTTTCCATAATCGCAACATATTTACATGTAGTATTACTTACCCTGACTGAATCAGGACTAGCTTCAGTTTCTCCAGTTAATAAATTAACCATTTTATGATATCGTTTCTTTTTGTACTTATTCAACACTGTAATTCAGACACAAATGTGATACACTATTAGAAATGTAATCATATGCAATTATGTGTAATGTGAAACATACATACAACAACATCAATGCACACTCTAACAGGACTGATTTTTCACCAAATCAATGTATTTTGTTGCATCGAAGAGCCAAAGAATTAGCAGAACTAGTTTGTGCATCAACTAGCAGTAGTAGTAGTTATCAACTAGCAGTAGTAGTAGTTATCAATTAGTAGGGTTGTACAAACCTGCTTGTTTACATATTCATACTTACCAGAAAATGCATAGGCCTAATTACAAATTACAGCCTGACGGAAACTATTAGAGAATATAGCCAGGTCTAAAAGGAACACCCTGGGGTAACATTCTCTAAGAAAAAAGGCCTCGCATACAGGGTCACCCCCAGGGCGATCACGCGATCAAGGCCTTTCCGTCTCCATTCTCCTAACGTTTCCAGTGCAACACAGCAGGCCGCTCGGATGCTTGTGGGGAGGTGGGCAGGTTTCCACAGATTTTCTGGTAGGTATAATTATGTAAACAAATGGGTTTGTACAACCCTACTAGTTTACTACTACTAGCACGCTCACAGGAGGTGAAATGTAAATTTTTTAACACAAAAAGGCAGAAATTTATAACTACTCACTAACAAGGAGTCTTGTCAGGGATGCAACCAATCAGGTGACTCTTCAGGAACCGGGTGCCTCGAGAGTAAACCCCCCAATATAGGGAGGCTTACTAAAGGCGGCCGCCTGAATAATAATTAGGGCCCAACAATTTTAATGCATTACACAGTATATTGTTGGGCTGAATAGCGCAGATCGAAACCAGAAGCACCAAGAAAAGGAGGTTGGCTTCGGTCGAGGGCGCTAACGTTTTTGCGCACAGGGTCCTAGGTCCAAGGTCCAAGAACACTGTCTGACCTGTCACCACTGGTCCCAACCTGTAGAGACCCTCCTTCATAGGTTGGAGGTCCCTCAGATAGTATTTAATGAAGACATTCTGAGATCTCCAGAACCCTGCTCGAAGCAGTGCTGTTGCATATCCCCAGAAGGTTCTCCTTCGCTAGCTTCTACAATGTGGAGAAACACGTTCCCCTTCCTTGTTGATATATGACACTACTGAGGTGTTGTCTGTCCGAAGCAGGACTCTGTGGTGGTGTGCGACCTTATAAAAATGTTTCAGAGACAGTAGGATGGTCTACAACTCCAACTAATTGATGTAGCAACCCATATACGTGGCCAGCCACGTCCCTTGGACTTGAAGGTCCATCAGATGGACGCCCCACCCTTTGAATTGGACAAAGCCGAAGAGTTGATGACAGAACTAGACGATGAACTGAAGTCCTATTGCCAATAAGGCACATCAGTTCGCGCATAGAAGCCAATCCTGTCGACAGGATTTGGCTGGCGAGCTTCACAAAGGAGTCGTACTGCGCCTGAGAGGGGCAGACAAGCCCTTGCCCTGTGTCGAACTGCATACCCAGAAAAACTAGGTTGCGGGACGGTATGGACATGAGAATATTTATTAACTAGCAGCCTGTCAGCTGATATAGCTCTGCTGTTTGTGAAAGCAACGACTAAGAAGCAATTTAAACTTAATGCTAGCTGCTTTAATATCGCAAGACACGAACATTCTTGATTTTGTTGCAGAGAATATTTCACTAAAAGTAGAGAATTGAAGACATCTTTACGAAATGGACAAATCTAATAGAGGTCTATCCAAGGTGCATGTGTACAAGTAATTGTACTGGTTTTAAAGACAAGTCAAAAATATGTTTTTTGATGAAAAATGATGAAAATATTGGATTAGCAGTTTTCAACAAGAAGTTGAAAATAATGTTTTTGACCAAAAATTACAAAAATATTCATCAAAATTAGAGAATTGAAAATATTGTCACAAAATCAACAAATCTGACAGAGGTCCACCTGATATACCTACATATACAATATCAAAGCAATTGGACATGCAGTTTTCAAAGAGAAGTCGAAAATATAATTTTTTATCAAAATGACAAAATTATTCATCAAAATTAGAGAAATGAAGATATCATCACCTACATACTAAGTATCAAAGCATTTGGGCTAGCGGTTTTCAAGAAGAAGACGAAAATAGCATTTTTGACCAAAAATGACAAAAATATTCGGTATAAATAAGACAATTGAACATATCCACACGAAATGAACAAATCTGAGAGAAAAGGTACTTTCCTAGAAAGTTTCACAGCTACAGTACAGTTCTCACGAAAGCTTTGGCTTCACTTCAGCGTCAGCTTCGCTTCAGCATTGCATCATTATGGCATTGTTATGGCTTCATCGTCGCATCAAAGTCGCATCGGGGGGATATATTATTAACCAGTCTTACCAATCGCTAGCTTTATTTTATTCGAATTCATAAAATTCATGTTGATAATACAGACAAATATGGTTCTGTGACCCAGGCTGTGGTCCGATCAAGTGACTCTCAGCCAATCAATGTGACAGTCTTCACAATTATTCACTGAAAACATCGGTATATTTTGACAAACGCGTGGGAGTTGACCTCAGTTCAAAAAAAAAGAAGAAAAAAATTGGGCCGAGATATAAATCAGTTTTTCAAGTTGGGAAATAAAGTAAACTAGACTGGGGTCAATGATTTTCAGTATTGAAGGACTTCCGTGTGAATCATGATTTTCAAATTGTTCATTGATTGGTCACCAAATATTTACTGCTACAACTAAATGGACACATTTTTTTCTGAAGCCCAATGAATTATTTTTGCATGTCAAGCACTATTCGATTTTTTACAGGGCATGTGGCTCATTTTTATTTGAAAATATTTTTTGTGCGTATACTTTTAAATAGATCGAGCTTAGGTCACAAACACTGATCGTGACTTTATTTTGAAAATTGGATGTCAAGTTTTACCAGACCGACGCCACCACAACCATCCAATCATAGCTGGAAATGTACGCACTTGTTTCGAAACTTTGTATCAAGTTGACTGGCGACAATGCCGATGCACCAGGCGGCGTACGTGTGTTTTGCATGTATTAGTATTGGGTCGGACTCTGCTAAAACTAAACGAAACACAGAATCATAGAAAGCTGAGAGTATTGAAGACACATTAAAAATTAATTCAAAATTACTTGTACTTGAGATATTGATGGAATAGCTGAAAACTAATTATGTAAATCAGGAAACTGATATGAACAGATTTAAGTGTAAAACTAATAAGGTCTGCACAATGTACCAAGTTTCATTGAAATGTGATTAGAACCCAAAAAATATTAATTATTATGCTAATTAGAGAGTTAATATGAACAGATTTTAACCCAAAATTAATCAGGCTGTCTATTGTCCTAGAGCATTTATGTACCAAGTTTTATTCAAATGTGATGATCAATACTTGAGATATCAGTATTAATTAATTATGTTAATTAAGTGATTAAGAAGCATACATATTTACCAAAAACTAATATGGTGTATAGTCCTAGGTTCGTTGAAATGTGATGGGTACTCTTTAAAAGTTTCATTGAAATCCAATGAGTGGTTTGTAGACATCAGTGCAACAGCCATAGAACAGCAAAAAATTAACTAATTATGCAAATTAGGTAATTAATAAGCACAATTATTTATCCCAAAATTAATCAGGTCTCTGCATAGTCCTAGAAAATGTCGCAAGTCTCATTGAAATGTGATGATTAGTACTTGAGATATCAGGTGAAAAGCTGAAAATTAACTAATTATGCTAATAAGGTGATTAATATGCACAAATATTTACCCAAAAACTAATTAGGTCTCTGC